AACCACCTTGAAGACATGCATTGCCACCCACAATGTGTAACTAGATATGTGTAAATGAGTGGCCACTGGGCGAATTTGCAGCACTGAGTGCAAAGTGAAAACTAGAGTCCTTGGGTCTGCCTTGGCGGTGCAGGCAGTTGAGCACCTTGCTATGAAGCTGTCTGCAGCCTCGGCAGTGCCAGTTCGATCCCGGTCCGCCAGTGAGGGGCCCACATGCTGTGGTAGATCTCTCCTGTCTCACCCGCTGCTCCCCTCTACAGTGTATTTCGTCAGTTTGCCTATGCTGTTCCCCACTCTGTCTCTGGTGAATCCTCTTACCCTCCTGCGAATCTGGCCTATAGCCTGGTTCTTGTATAAATAAACAAATAAATCTAAAAAAAAAGAAGAAGAAAACTAGAGCCCTTGTACCCAAAAATAATTAAAAATTTCAAGATAGTGACAGCAGAACATTAAATCAAGAATGGAGTCCTTCTAAGCACAGGTCCTGTGTTTAGTCACAGGAATGTCAAAAGTATTGATAGAAAGATAGTCAACATTCAGATCTCAACCTATAGCCACATTAAGTTGGGAAAAATAGTTCAGATAATTAATCAAAAAAATATTTTCAGGGCCTTCCTGGTGGCACAAGGGGGTTAAGATGCAACCTATGAGGCTGTTCGCAGTCACTGCAGCGTGGGGTCAATCCCCCACCAGGAAAATACCCACGTGGCACGGCAGACCTCTCCTGGCTCACCCGCTGCTCCCTTCAATAGTGTATTTCAGTCGATCTGCCTATTCTGTTGCCGGTCTGTCTCTGGTGAATTCTCTCACCTCCCACACCTCTGGCCTGTACCCCAGTTCTTGTATGCATAAATAAATGAATCTTTAAAAAAAAGAAAGAAAGAAAATATTTTCAGCTAACTAATAACTGATTAGTTTAATTGAAGATTGTAGAACATTAAAATATATTGGTTAGTGCAAGCCCAGGACAGCTCCCTGCATGGGTCCTGGGGCCCAGCCACACCCAACGGAAGCCCCATCACTGCTGCTGATGCCACCATCCCCACGCATGATGTGGGGGCCCAACCATGCCCAGTGAAAGACCACTGATAAAAATGCATTCCCCAAAAGCAAATAATGGGTGAATACAACAAATGGCAACCTGAGTCCTCAGGGGAATACTGCAACACACACACACACACACACACACACACACACACACAGAGAGAGAGAGAGAGAGAGAGAGAGAGAGAGAGAACAAATCTCTAGAACTCAGTCACAAATACATGGAAGATCTATTCTTCTTATCAGATACAGAGCTCAAAATTGACATCATAAATTCAAAGCAATGGAAGAAAATAGAAAAAACACAGGTATGCTGATCAAAAAATTAAAAAAAAAACCAATGCGGAAAAACAAATGTATGTCCTAAGAAATAAAATTAACAAATAGAAGTTTGAAATTGAATTTTTAAATAAGAAAAGAACATCAACACAGCTGTAAAACACTAATAGAGGAGATTAAAAAAACAAGAGCAAAAAAAAAAAGTCTCTTCAATAAATGGTGCTAGGAAAATTGGACAGTCACATGCAAGATAATGAAAACAGACCACTCTCTGACACCATGCTCAAAAATATCAACTCATAATGGATAAAAGACTTGTGTGTAAGACCTGAAACTATAAAAGAAGAAAACATAGGCAAAACACTCCATGACATAGGGTTCAGAAACGTCTTTGTGGATTCATCTCCAACAGCAAGGAAAAGAGAATATAAACTATTGGGATTACATCAGACTTGAAGTTTCTGCACTATTAAAGCAAAATGACATCTTATTGCACGGGAGAAAATATTTGCATACCATTCACCTGACAAGCGGCTGATATTAAAGATCAACAAAGATCTCTCATACAACTCAACAAAAGAAAACAAAGAACTCAATCAAAAAATTGGCAGATGATTTAAACAGGCACTTCTCCAAAACAGACATACAAAAGGCCAACAGGCCATGAAAAAAAGTTTCATCAGCACTTATCTTCAGAGAAATGCAAATTCACATCACAATAAGATACCACCTCACACCTGTGAGAACGGCCTCTACCACACAGATCAGAAACAATGAGTGCTGGTGAAGGTGTGAAAAAAAACGAACTGTAATACACTGTGGGAATGTAGACTGGTCCAGCCCCTATGGAAACTAGTATGGAGGCTTTTCAAAAGATTAAAAAAGAATCTTTCATATAACCAGCAATTCCAGTCCTGGCTATCTACCCAGGAATGCATTTATATCAGTGGTCTTTCACTGGACATGGTTGGGCCCCCACGACATGCGTGGGGATGGTGGCATCGGCAGCAGTGATGGGGCTTCTGTTGGGTGTGGCTGGGCCACTGGACCCATGCAGGGAGCGTCCCTGGGCTTGCACTAACCAATCAGTGGTGTCTTCTCAGTACTGACTACTATTCATAAACTTTATATACTATTTTCTTTGCATCTTGATTTTTTTGGTACATCATTGAGTCTATCAGTGAAGATAATAAAAAGCACTCCATTTCTCTAGGCATAAAACATTAGTATATAAAAATTTAACAGCCATTTTCTCCTGTGCATCTGTCTCAATAACAATAGTGTTTGGCTTACCAAAACAACCACCATTTCTTCAGAGATTTTATTTTGGAATTTTTTTCCACATGGTATTAATTCTTTCGTGTACAAAATAATGATAACTTGATAGTTAGAATAGGTTCATTTTCATATAACAATACACATCCAAGTAGCTTCATGGATATTTTCTTCAAGAAGATTTTTCTCTTATGGGTTCTCATTTGGGTTCGGAGTCCAGGAAGGAATTTGCTTCTCCTCTCCTAAAGTTCTGAATAATCTCCTCTCATGCTTCTGAAAGTTTTCTTATGCACAAGTCCTTATTCTGTCAGGTTTTATGGTGATTGCATTAAAAAAGACAGCTGGATTTCCTCTTGAACAGTTATTTATTGATGTTCTTTTATCTGTTCCTGAAAGGCTTTGTTTGTTTGTTTGTTTGTTTGTTTGTTTTTTAAGGGCAGGATATGTGAAAAGACACTCCCCAATGCTGCTATCAGGCTTTAAATAGTCACCTATCTAGCTGTGTTTGGGTACAGAATTCATCTTTAAAAATCACTCTAGTCTACTCCCCATTCCCTCTTTATGTTCCAGTCACATGGAAATAATAGGTTTTCCCCACTTTATGCTGTCCCTTGCTCTTATTTACTTCCCTCATTTTCTTCCCCTTTTCTTCTATTTCTGTTTAGCCTTCACATACTTTCTTCCTCACATATTCTCATTCATATATTCTCCCTCCATCATTCCCTCTCCAACTGTCATTCAGCAATGCTCTGAATGCCTATGTGCTAGATACTGTTCTAAGTGGAAGTAAGCTGGGCTGGACACATCTAAGAAAAAGGCCAGTGTGTGTGAGTGCAGTGAGTATAGTGCCAGGGAGTCTGAGAGGGCAAGTCGGTGCAGCTCACACAGCACCTTGGAAGACCTGGCACACTGAGGTGAGGTGCCAGAGTGTGGTCACAGAGGGTGCAAATGTAAATTTGCTCTAGAAGAATAGAGTTGTGGGCAAGAATGAAAGCCTGAAGATCCCTTAGACAGCAGGTTTTTAAATGATTGGCCCGCTGGCAATACATAGAGTGGACACATTCCATGCAGGATTTATTTTTGAGGTAGAGTTGACAGAACTTGCCTATGGATGGGTTGTGGGAAGTGAGCCTAAAAGAGGAATCAGAGATCCTAGCTTCAGCCGCTAGCAACAGTCTCACTCGATTTCATTGTTATGCTTTTCCTTTTTCTCTACCCCACCCTCTTTTTCCTCTTTATTTTTGTTCACACTGTAACAGAATCTGGAAATCTCTTCACCATGCATAGGGTTAGTTCCTGCTAACCCATCTCAATTTAGAAGTCACAAACTCCAGAAACATTTCCTGAGGTCCCTACATTGGGCCAAAGGTACAACCATGTGACACCATAGCTGTTTTACTCCTGGCATCAATTTCTACAGTATTGCATTATTCACAAGGACTTCCCACACAGGGTTTCCAAGCGTCGACTCTAGAGCCAGAATCCAGCAGGTTTATGTCCAAGCTCTGTTACTAAATGGCTAAGTGAACTCCAGGTCTCAGTTCTCACACATAAAGGGCAGATAAGAAAACTGCCTACCTCAGAAGTTTTTGCATGAAATTACATATGTAAAATGCTTAGCACAATACTAACACAGATCAAAGGCTAGGTAAATGATAGCCATTATTATTCATTGTTATTGCTTTACATTATTCATCTTCATCTAAACAGGGTTTCTGAAAAGTTTTAGGAACGAAACTAAATCAGGAAATACCTAAATAATTCAGGCAGGCCTAGAAAAAAATTAACACCTCAGTAACAGCCAAAACGGGTGAGATTTATTAACTAATTCGGATAAATATGCTCACGGAAGCCATAATTATTAACTATTACTAGTTTTCATTTCTTCCACTTACTTTGGGCTTTGGTTTTGGGGTCCCAAAACACCAGTTACCACATGAGATGGACCCACAAGTTTATTTTTCTTTGAGGTCTCACCTGAGCAGGTACATGTTTAAAAGACAGAGCAGAAAGAGACTGCTTGCTCGCAGAGGTTGGAGGGACTGAGGGCGTGACCCTCTTAATCATTTTTTACTTCCTTTTTTTTGCAAGACGACTTGGCATCCTCCACCACATCCGCGGCAAGAGCTGCGACGCCTCCTCCATGGCGTGCGTTTGCGATAGCCCAGCTTTCTTCCCACATATCTGTGGCTTCCGTGGACACATTAGCAACCGATGCTTTTAGAGCTCAGTGGCCTGGCTTTGCCAAGGCGGCTAGAGGTCATCTGGAAAGTCTTTTGCCTCCAATTGCTCCGATTCAGGAGACCAGCTTCTTTCTCCCGCGGTGCTTTGGGAATTCGCGTCCTCCTCTGGTCCAGGTCCAGCTGCGCAGGAAGCCCTAAGGGCGGGAGGAGGCAGGTGCTTGGAAGGCGGGGTGGAGGGGGGGCAGTGAAGGCGCCCCCTTGATGAACCCAGAGATCGAACCTGCTACCAAGCGCAAAGTAGAAACTGAAAGTACACTGCCGGCAGATCCTACGGAAGTTATGGGAAAGGCAAAGCGCCGAGCCGGGCTGTGGTGTGTGCCGCCCCCCTTGGGATGGATGAAACATCAGGCGCGGCGTGGGTGAGAAGAGCCAGCTGCAGAGACTGCCCTACCCAGCACAGACACCGGGCAACTCCGCGGGAAGACCAGGGTCCTGGGAGTGACTATGGGCGGTGAGAGCTCGCTCCTGCTGCAGTTGCGGTCATCATGACCACGCCCGCCTCCCGCAGACCATGTTCCATGGTAAGCGCTCCTGTCCCGGGCGCAAAAGTTCGCGCGCCGGGCACGCCGGGGGACTGCGGAAAGCGCAGCGGGGCCCCGCGTCCGGGAACTGCCCGGCCTTGCACTTTGGACCTGCGGAGAGCCCTGGCTCTCCCACGGGCAGCAGTCCGCCGCCCCGCAGTAGCCTGGCGGGCAGCCACTTGCACCTGGGGCTGCTGCGCCTGGCAGGCGGCTGCGAGCAATCCCAGCGCCGGCTTTGCGCCCCGAGACCGAGTGCTGCAGCCTCTGCGCCGCTCGGCGTTGGCAGCCCGAAATCAGGGTCTCACTCTTCCCCAGCCAGAGTTGCCCTCTGTCATCCCGGCGCCCAACCCACCTCCCGGTTCTCCTGGCCGCCCCAACTTACTCACCGGCCCGGGGTGATAATGCAGCTCCCAACTCCCTAGAGAAGCGAAAGCGAAGCTCCCACGGGAACGCGGTTTTAAACCCTAAGGGACAGGTCTTTGGAAAACCCCTTTAATCCCCCTCAGTGAGACGGAGTTTCCGACAGGGGCTGCACCTTCTCTTTTAGCTGGGAACCCAGGCCCTCCGACTGGCACCGAGAAAAGCCAGTTCAGGGTTGTTGGGGTGTTGTTGTTGTTGTTGTTTTCCTATACGGGTGCTCCTTGATGAAGGCGGGAACAAATAAACAAAGCTCTACCTTAAAGACCCCATCGAAGAGCTAATGTATTTTACTTGTGCGGAATACGGACTTAAAATGGACAAGGGCAGAATTGAGGCCAGTTAGACTCTGTTGGCGGCGATATTGCCAATGTAAAGACCCGAAAATTTTAGTGGAAGAAATAAGAGGGGAAAGAGATGCGAGCGGAGAAAATCTACTGCGAGAAATGGGAATAATTTCTCGTCAATACTGCCTCAAGCCAATGAAGGTGAGGGAGGGTGCAGGAAGAGCGCGGACTGGTTTTGCCTGTGATAGCTGCTCTGAGAGCTTTCCTAGAGACACCTTTAGATGAGTGGAGCTCTTTCCCTTCTCATAGGTATTGAAGAATCAAGAATTGACATAGCTAATGAGTAAGCAAATCAATGACAAAATAAAAGGGGGTTTTAGAGCGTGGGAGCAATTATGGAAGATTTACAATGGGCTTCTGCAGGAGTTTAATATAGAATTATGTATTGCGTAAACTCCTGCTCTCCTAACAATGCCCATCTCTGCATTGCTGCCTGGATAGCTCCCGATTCTAATCCTTGCATCACCTCTGATCTAAAGTGGAGTGGTAAAATAAGAAAAGGAAGCTAAGATGAATATTATTAACAAGGGAACTTACTGCTTGAAGTACATCCATGGTAATTGTGTGCCATAAATTGTTATCAGCTATCTATCTATCTATCTATCTATCTATCTATCTATCTATCTCTCTATATGAAAGAATTCTAATTATATATATGAGAAAGAATATATGTGCGTGTGTGGAATATATATATGTGATATATATATATATGAAAGAATTCTAAACTTCTAGTAATGATGATTATAATGAATGGGTTTCTGCATTTGGTTCCAAAATATTTCACTAGTTGCTCTCTACTTTAATTCTTTTCCACTTCTTTTGAGAGTTGAACTAGTTGAGGATCTACTATATGACCGTCGTTTGTGCTTTCTGGTTTAGGGAATTTAATAATATTTCAGGACTGAAAAAACAGGATAATAATAAAAAGAGAACTGAGAAAGATTACAAAGTCTGAATAGGTCTAAAGGAGATTTACACATGGTATGACATCAATGTTTAAACGTTGTTTAAACAGCTTAAACTGGAAAATGTATTTCATTGTATGTCATATATATGTCACTTATATGTCATGTTCACATGAGATTATTTTTTCCTGGTCTTACTTCTGACATAGAACCTAGTGTAATAAGAGCAAATGTTTAGTGTCTTTTTTTTTTTTTTTTAATGAAATAAGTGCATGATTCAGTGTTTCAGAGCTTGGCCAGGAAGTATCGGAGTGAAGTTCCTATACTTTAGAGGGAGTTGGGTCTTTGTTCATTCCCCTTGACTACACATATGTATTTATTTTTTAGAAAGCAATGTAGTTCAGCGACTGAAACCTGAGTTTCTAGACTCTTCAACCCAACAAATATGGAATTGATTCTTGGCTTTACTAGACACATATTATGTGTGAAAAAAATTTCTTTGAGTCCCAGACTCACTCTCCATCTGCAAAATTGTGAATAATTAGTAGTAGTTACCTCATGAAGAGGCTGTGAGATTAAATGAAAGAATGTATAAAATATTACAAAATGACTGTCAAAATACATTTGTTTATCATAGTATTTGTGGATAGAATTTACAGTTCAACTTTAATATTGGTTGTGAACAATGTTAGATTTCTTTATGTGAGCATACTCAGACTTCTGTTTGTAATCTTTAAAAGCAGGTTTCTATACAGCAATGGTTATTTTTCTACAACTTAATAATTTGGCTTTTTCTTCATTCATCCATTTGCTGTGCCAATTGGTCATGTTAAAGACAAGTTTTATACATTCAGATAATGTCTTCCAATCTATTCTAAAATTATTTTGATATTTATATTTTTAAATTCCCAGCAAAAATAGGCATATGTAATGTTTATAATGAGCATTGAATAAACACTTATTGATCTTAACAACTGGTGAACAATTGGATTTGATGGACTATGAAAACTAATTTATTTATGTTCACTTTGACCCCATAACTTACACAGCTGAGAACTGAATGTATTATTTGGCTTAAAGTAAAAAACCAACAAGAATTTTTTGAACAGTCATCATTCTGGTTTAACCAAAATCCCTACTGAAAACAAATTCTCCAATTTCAATCCCTTCAGGAGATATAAAGACAAGTCCATCTTTATGGTTTGTCTTCTCTGTAACTTAATGAAAAGTTCAGGGTGGGGGAAGGGTAGATGTCTATGTATAATCTGAAACCAAACAAAAAGCAGAGTTCTTTTCCCATTGTGATAACGGTATCAAAAGCACACTCAAACTCGGCGATACTAACATGCTACTCTTAATGTGCTATGGAGAAAAGACTGCAATTGCTGACCAAACTACAGGTTGTTAATGAGCAATCTAGAAATCTATAAGATGTGAATCTAGGAATCTGTAAGATGTGAATCCCTCGGTCTTGGGGCTTCTCCTTGAGGTTATTTCAAATCCAAAGAGTTACTGTATACTGTATTTGGGTATATACTCTATTTGTATAAGTATTACATATATAATATAATGTATCTGGATTGGTAGAATCTTAGAATTGAGGAACTTAAGAGCTAGAAGGGAAAATAAGTTCTCATTTCATAAATCTGCTGTGTGAAGCTTAAAAACCTCTGTCAGTCACTCAATCACATATTTCATACCAATGCAGAAAACCTGAGTATCTTACTCCAAACCGTTGGTGCTTTTGCATTGTCTTTGCCTAGCATAGGTTTGCTCATTTAGTAGCATTGATGGCAACAAAAGACATACCTTAAGGGCAAGACAGACTGTGTTTTAGGATTGAAAAACTAGTTGTGATACACACAGAGAAGACTGAATTTTCCACTATCATTTGAAAATAGTGATAAAATGCCATCCAATGAATTGGTTGATGTGAATTTTGAGACTAATTATTGAAAATTGAGGGGAAGAGGATACAACAGATAGAGCTCATAGGAAATAAACTAACTTCCTTTATTAAAAGATAAATGATGACTCTTTGGAATAACATCTATGTATAGTGGTAAGAATGTCTCCCTTTCATTCCAGTATTTTATTACATCATCCATAAAGCTCACTTCAAATTATATCTTGTGTAACTTTTCCTTTATAATCTACTCCTCCCAAAGTATATGCTTGAACATCTATAAAATGACAAAGAATATATATGTTTGCTTTTATACAATATGCACAAACCCGATTACAAAGTTACAACCCAGTAAATATAGCAGTTGATCACTGAGGATCTTCAGGATGAAGGAATAGTCGCAGAAGACAGAGGCAGAGCTGTCTATTACATGGAAGAGGTTTTTTCCTAAGAAGAATGTGAGTACATATTATTAAAGGTTTATGGCTATTTCTGATCAAATCGTGGTGAGGCAGCAAACTCAGGTTAGAATACAGACATGGCACTTATTATCTGTTTTGCAAAGTTATTAATTTGCAGTGCTTTCCTGGTGGTGCAGGGGTTGAAGTCTCAGTGTTATCAAGCTATCACCAGCCACTGACACTGAGGCATGAGTTCGATTCCTGGCCAGAGAACTATCCCACATGTGCTGCAGACCTCTCCTATCTTGCCTGCTGCTCCCCATCAGCAGTGTGATTCAGTAGATCTGCCTGTTCTGCTCCCCACTCTGTCTCTGCTTAATCCTTTCACCCCCTACCCCTCTGGCCTACACCCCAGTTCTTGTATGCATAACTAAATATTTTTTTAAAAGTTGTTTACTTGCAGGACTCTTGATTTTAGAAATGATAGGTATTAGGCACATAACAGTGTCTGGCACGTGGTAGATAATTAAATTAAAGGCAACTAGTATCATAACGATTATTCATCTCCTAAGTGAAGTCTTATTCACCATGAATGTAGACACTTAGTGGCAGACCTATGCACAGATTCCATGTCATAGGCCTGGATTTTCATTTCTCTTACCTTATAAAGTGTCAGTGACATATGAAAATAAGATGTAGGATTTATGTTTATTCCCATATATGTTACCCAGCTTATTTCTATATTTATAAAAATATAGGTCACTAATAGCATATTCTTTTTGGGGGGAATGCTACTGGTTTTTATATGGCAGATAATAAAATAATAGATGAGTGTTATTGGTGATTTTTGATATACTTAACAGTCTTTGGGTCATTGTCACAATATTAGTTCCTTGGGTTTCAAGGAGTGATATTTAGACTTTTAATCAGAGAAGGCACACCTGTGACATACTTGCACTCAACAAGTGCAGTTGAGGTTCATTTGGGAAATTCACAGGAAATATATATATATCATACTCAGAAGTGTGTAGAAAAATGCAAAGATGACACTATGGGAGGCTCATGAAAAAATAGTTCCCAAAGTAAACCAAACTTTAGCTTCTCTGAGCGTCACTGACTTTCCACCTAATGTATTATTGCTGCCACAAATGATACCATTTAGAACTTTATTCCTTTTCACTAGACAGTTGCTTCTAAATAAAAAAGCTTATCAATAACAAATATAAATCATTTTAACAGGTTTTGAATTCACTCACTGGTTTGTTTTTTTATTTTTTTACATGTCAAGGAGCTGGACAAAACAGTATTTGAAAAGAATATGAGTCTCTGGGCATCTGGAAACAGAAAATATTGAAAAGATAGGAAAAGGACTCTCAAATTATAGATGCCAACTTTGACATAATTGTCAAAATTCTGAAAGGAGTCAATGCTTAAAGCTCTATTATTAAAAAGAAATAGCAGAATGCTGTACTATGGAGATAAACTTAAAATGCTACCTCTAGAAGGGACTGGACACTTGGATAATGATCAACCTTTACATAAATATATAATCACATGCCACAGGACATAACATTTTAGAACTCTGTAACTTTTTAACCTGTAGCTTACCTGCTTACCTATTTACCTGTAGATATAGAAATTGAATAAACTGTATTTATACCAGAGATTATTTTTTCAGAAGGAAGGATAATCTACTCTCATCGTATTTGGTCTGCACTTTCCCAAAGAATATTCTTCGGGTAAAAAAAGGAAAGAAACTTTATAATGTTGTCTCACTTTGCTCATTGCATATTATCTATATTTAGGGTCCTTCCCACACTATCCAAAAACTGGGATACACTATTTAATTATTAGATACAAGTGATCAGGTCAATTGATCACCACAATCAAATATAACATTATTTATGACATTTAGCTTACTCTTACTACTGTTGAATTTAGTTTCTTTTAGGTATATTTTTGGAATTCCACCCCTGATCCTTGTTCTGTTGCCAGTAGCATCATCTGATTGTGAAATTGACGGTAAAGAAGGCAAAGAATATGAGAATGTTTTAATGATCAGCATCAATTACTTGGTATGTTCTTGTTTTGTTGTTCTTACATTTTAACTTTTTGGGAAAAATTGATATGTACTGTTGGTATGCAGTTTTATATTCAATTAGCCATCTATATTCCTTGAAAATAAGGTATAACAACTAAAGAATACAATTTAATAAACTAATATCTATACATTTTTATAGTTACTATTATTATATAGTTACTATTATTATATTCTTTAAAAATAAGTCTTTCCTAGAGCTTAAAACTCCTGCAAGTATTCATTTCAGTACCAATGTCCTTCACTAATAAATTTTCATACTTTATAATTTAACATAACTGTATTTCCTTACCTCCTGCTGACAATTCCTATAAAAGCATTAGAGTAGAATAAATTAACATTTTAAAATTATCATGAAAAGAGCTGCATAATTATTTTATTTTATCAAATTGTATGTATATACATATATGTGTCTGTATATTTATGTATGCGTATTTATATGTAATTTGCTATAAGCTAATTTTTTTATATTTGCTATGAATATTCTTTTAATTCATAGATTTCCTTTTTAAGAGCAGTTTAGTTTTACAGAAAACTTGAGAGAAAGTAAAGAATTCCCATATCTGATCTCCATCTCCCATTTTCCCTATTGTTAGAATCTTGCATTTTTGGTATATTTGTTACAATTGATGAACCAATATTAATATATAATTATTAATTAAAGGCCATAAATGACATTAGGGTTCACTCTTTGCACAGTCCTGTAAGGTTTGACAAAAGCATCATGTCATGTATCCACTATTTCTCTTTATATATCTCTTTCTTCCTCCCCCTGAATCCATAGCAACCATTGATCTATTTATGATGTCTTTATTTTTTATTTTTCTGGAATGTCATATAGTTGGAATTCTGTATTATATAATTTTTTAGACTGGATTCTTTCACTTGACAAATTGTATGTAAGATTCCTCCCTGAATTTTTATGACTTGATGGCTCATTTCTTTTTATTGCCAAATAATAGTCCACTGAATAGAGGTAACAAATTCACCGATTGAAGGTGGATTCTGATTTTTGGCAATTATAAAGAAAGCGCCTATGAATATTCATGTGAAGGGTTTTGTTTAAACATACTTTTTCAATTCATTTGGGTAAATATGTAGAAATGTAATTCAGGATCCCATAGTAAGACTATGTTTAAATTTGTATTAAACTTCCCATTGTTTTCCAAAGTGATTATACCATTTTGCATTTTCATCAGTAGTGACTGAGAGTTCCTGATGCCTCACAATCTCGCCAGCATTTGATATTGTTAGTGTTTTGAGTTTTGGTCATTCTAATAAGTGTGCCATTGTATCTTATTGTTAAAATTTGCAACTCCTAAATGACATGCGATGTTAAGCATCTATTCAGTTATCTGTTGCCATCGACATATCTTCTTGGGTGAGGTACCTGAACTAACATCTTAATTGACATGTTGAAAATACTGAATCTTATTATCCATGATTATGGAATATCTTTCCATTTATTTAGATCTTTCCCTGATTTCCTTTCATCAAAGTTTTGTACTTTTCCTGGCTTAGATCCATTTCATATTTTCTAGATCTATGCTTAAGTATTTCTTTTTGATACCAATGTAAATGTTGCTGTGTTTTGCATTTCAAATTTCAGTTGTTCACTGCCAGTATACCTGAAAACAAATTACTTTTGTATATTCACTTTGTATCCTCTAACCTTGTTATAATTGATTACTCATTTGAGTAAGTGATGATAATGATTCTTTGGGATTTTCTACAAAGACAATTACATCATCTACAAAAGTTAATTTTTTTTTAGTTTAAGAATTTTCTTATTTTAATGGGATTTTTTATTAATAGGCATTAAGTCCTTAAAATCCCAAATGGTAAAGGAAAACTTAAATGTTCATAAGATGGGGGGAATTGTCTAATATTGTCCTTCCATTCCACTGACTTTCTGCATACTAACACTTAAGTCACGACTCCATGTTACACCCCTTGGTGGTATATTGGAAATTCAAGGTGATATTAATTACAATACCATGGAAATCTCTTGATTTTGACCACTGACTAGAAAAATAAGTGAACAGCAAAGGGCAGATACCTCCATTTTACATTTCATACATATTTCAGATTTTTTTGCATTAAAAATGCTATCAAATTCATCTTTTGAAGTTAAAATCAAGATTTTTTAAAATTTAATTTTGTTATCTGGGTAGTGAATGAAAAATTGTTAGTTCTACAATAAGTGTAAGTAACCATATGTGTGCAAAATTCTGCGAAAAATGTTATTGGCAATAGAAAAGTAAGAGAGTTTTTTTTAAAGATTTATTGATTGATTGATTGATTATTTATTTATTTATTTATACAAGCACTGGGTACAGTTAGAAGCGCGGGAGGGTGAGAGAATTCACTAGAGCCAGAGCGGGGAGCAGAGCAGGCAGAAGGACCAAGGTACACTGCTGAGGGGAGCAGCGGGCAGCAGGAGAGGTCTGCTCGCCATATGGGACCCTCCTTCGGTGGCCGGGGAGCAGCCGGGAATCAAACCGGCGCTGCAGAGGTTGTGGGCAGCTTCGCAATACAGTGCTCAACCGCTGCGCCACCGGGGAGGCCCAAGAAAAGTAAGAAAGTTTTATTTACCAGATTCATAACACAATTTTTCTGTAAATAGAGAGGAGTTTATTTCATGAAAATGCACAGGAGCAGCAAGAACAGAAGCAGCAACAGTGATACTACTCAAACAAAGCAAAACTACTCTTCTTACTGAGATTAATTCACAAAACAGCAAAGAATACAGGATCTCATCAATCCAAGAGAATAATGCTGTGATAGCCTCAAGAAAGTTGTGTGTCAGTATGAAGTGATACATTTGAGGAAAGGAGAAAGAAAGTCACAAATAATTGTTCCTATCAAGATGACTGACTGGCAGAGATTTAGTTCCTTATTCACTTAGTGAGTTAGTAGATGCTTTGCAGACATGACTGTGTTTAAATCTTAGGGACACCATAATGCTAACATTATGAAGTTCTTGTTATGCACTAAGTGATTTTCAGGAAACTTGTTCAACCTTCACCTATAGGAGAGAGCACTTTTTATAACTTCATTGCACAAAGGCAGGCTTGGGGTTGCTCAACTTGTAAGTGATGGAGCCAGGATTTGAGCCTCTGTTGCTAGCTAGTCAGGACCTCCCACTAGCAATCTCTGTGTTAACTTATCACTCAACAAACATTTATTTGAAGCTGGCTATATGCCAGTTATTGTGGCAAACCCTTTTGGGAGGTGTGGTTGTATGTATATGAGGGTATACACGATCTTTTAAGTACCTTACACTTGGTGATGCTTAAGCCTTGGTTTGAAAATGCAAGTGGCAACTTGACAAGGAGGAAGAGAGGCTGCGAAACTGTCATTAAAAAAGAACAGCCTGTCCTTCGGAATTAATGTTTCTGTGTCATTTGGGTAAATGCCTAGGAGTGGAATTGCTGGATCATATGGAAGCTCTATCTTTACTAGGTTGAGGAATCTCCACACAGTTCTCCATAGTGGTTGGACGAGTTTGCACTCCCACCAGCAGTGCAGGAGTGTTCCTTTTTCTCCACAACCTCACCAATATTTGTTGTTGCTAGTTTTTTTAATACGTGCCATTCTCACTGGTGTAAGATGGTATCTCATTGTAGTTTTGATTTGCATTTCCCTGATTACAAGTGATCTTGAACATTTTTTCATATGCCTGTTGGCCATTTGCATTTCCAAAGGGCACCTGCACCCCTATGTTTATAGCAGCACTATTTACAATAGCTAAGCTATGGAAACAACCCAAATGCCCAGAAATAGATGACTGGATCAAGAAGATGTGGTACATATACACAATGGAATATTACTCAGCAATCCAAAAAGATAAACACATGCAGTTTGCAGCAACATGGATGGAGCTAGAAGGGATCATACTCAGCAAAATAAGTCAGAAAAAAAAGAAAAATACCGGATGGCCTCACTCATAACAGGAATTTAGAATACCTAAATAAGGGACCAGGAAAAAGACTAATTAATACAAAGTGAAAATCAAAATCAACAAATAACTATAAACCAGAGACACACTACAGGGGAGGGGGAAGAGGAAGGATTAAGGTCAAAATAAGGGGGGGTGTGCGACTGTATGGGGAATATAATCAAAATGAAAATGCATACACTGTGCAAAAATGAAAAATGATGTAAGAATTATATAAAATAAAATATTAAAAAAAACATAAGTTGAAAGGAAAAAAAAAAAAAAGAACAGCCTGATTGTAAGCCAGGCTTGGAAATAAAGAAATTGAAATGGTGTTCAAGGAGTTGAGTAGATTAGATTGGCATTAGCTCATAGACCATGTTGCAGATACAGAACTGATCTCCAGAATTTTTAGACAGTACGCCCCTTTAGAAAACAATTTTTGAGCCTACCCTTCCAGTATACATTTAGCATTTATTTACATATCTAGCATTTTCATAGTAATTTTTGTATGAATAATGATACATACAAAAACTGAAAATTTACACAGGATAAGATAAAAATTAAATGTAAATAGAATTTGTAAATTTTCCTCCTATACTGCTGTGGATTTTCCATTGTGGACTCTACTTGGACACCACTAGAAGGAAAAGTTTCCAGTAGATCTGTATGTTATAGTGAGACCATGAATTATATTGATTTCATGGTATTTAGATTTTATTCAAAAGATCACCAAAAGTCAACAGTGATTTAATCATAAAGTAACATTTAATTAAAATACAAATGTGTGAGCATTTTTTTTAAATTTTTTTTTAGAGATTTATTTTTATTTATTTATACAAGCACTGGGTACAGTCAGAAGCGCAGGAGGGCGAGAGAATTCACCAGAGCCAGAGCGGGGAGCAGAGCAGGCAGACTGAAGTATACTGCTGAGGGGAGCAGCGGGCGGCAGGAGAGGTCTGCGCACCATGCAGGACCCTCCTCCAGTGGCTGGGGAGCAGCCAGGGATCGAACAGGTGCTGCAGAGGCTGCGGGCA